TTTGTTCAATCAAGACATGGGGAGCTCTGTTGCGACGGAGAAAGACTTACCAATAACAAACCAGAGCATCCTTCATGAAGGAGTGGGACAGAACTGAGGCCAGGGGTATTCACGAGGAGAGGAAGTGCAGGACAGAGACTGTAGACTCCGGGATGGCTAATCTTCACCCTCAACTTGACTGTGCTAGAATGACTTGGGAGATCCACCTCTGGGCTTGGAACTGAGAGGGAAAGACCCAGCCTAAACGTGAGTGGCAACTTCCCATGGGCTGGGGACCTGGACAGAAGAGAGAAGAAGGCAGGTGGGGAGCCATCAGTCACTGCTTCCTGCGTCACCATAGGGTACCATGCGCCCAGCTGCCTTACGTTCCTGCTGCCATCCCGGAAGCCTCTCCCACGATGCCCTGACCTGCCATGACGGACCGTGCAGTAGACTGTGAGTCTAATCACGCTTTCCTTCTTTGAAGTCACAGCAATGACTGTGGTATCCAATGCAGACTCCTTTCTGGAGTCTAGTAATGACAGAAGAGAGAAGCAGTTTCTTTTGGGGGGGCGTCTTCGGGAATATTCTTCCCAAGCCCATGATACTTAGCTTTTGTTTGATGTCTGAGCTGCAGGGGGGGAAAAACTGTTGGACAAGGACAAACTAAGCATTTAAGGGATGTTCTGAGGATGTGGGTGCAGTCCAGGGATGGCTTCCTCTTTGCCCCCAAAGGTTATTAGTGCTGTCACAACTTGAATTTTCTTTTTTTAATTGTTACTGCCATTTAAAGTTGTTTGATATATTTTTGTCTCAGTGCTCCAGAAGCTAGCTAATCATGATCATACAACTCCCTAAGATGGGGTGAACCCTACTCCAAAACCAAGTTCTCCATCATTCTTTTCCCAGTTCAGAATATACACAGCACAGACATCACTTTAAATAACAGGGAAGGAGTTCAGATATTGTAATGGAATTTGATTTATTAACCATTTTTTTTTTTTGAGACAAGGTCTCACTATGTAGCTCTGGCTGTGCTGGAATTCACTATGTAGATCAGGCTGGCCTCGAACTCACAGAGATCCTCTTGCTTCTCTGCCTCTCTTGTGCTGGGACTAAAGGTGTGTGCCAACAGGCCTGGCCATTAACCTGCTGTTTTAAAGTTATTATCTAGGACTCCTGAGTTGGGGAGGGCCTGTAAACATCTCAACTGTGTACTTCCTTTTCACCCAGGAACACTGTCAGTGTGGCAGAGGGATAGGAACAAACAATACAAGAGTCGCCTCCCTATGGCATCTTTCCAGGGCTCCCACTCTGGTCTGTGAGCCTGACACCAACACACTTCAGTACAATGCTGCATTCACTTATCTACATGCCCGGCTTTCTGAGTGGGTGGCAGGCTACTTGAGGAAAAGGTCCTCTCCTGCTCACTTTGACCCTTCTACAACTGTGTCCTGAGACTGGTATATACTGTAAGATCAATAAATGCTGCATGAATCACTCATTGAGGAAGGCAAATCACCTCACACTTATTAGAATGGCTAGTATCAAAAGAGTCACACCAGTGAGGATATGGTGATACAATGATTCCTATATACTGCCTGTGAGGTATAAATTAGCATAACCATCATGGAGTTTCTCCAAAATGTTAGAAATAAAACTAGCACATAATCCAGCAGTCCCACAACTGGTGTATATCCAAAGAGAGACATCTGCATGTCCATATTCATTGCAGCACTATTGACATTGGCTAAGACGTGAGATTAACACATATATGTGGAGATGGGGAGCAAGCCCAGTCATAAAAAGAATGAAAGACTGTGACACATGGGTGAACCTGGAGAACACCCATTCAAGTAAGTCATGCGCAGAAAAAAAACTACTGTACAATCTCACTCATGCATGGAGGAAGACTGACTCGCATGGTGGTTACCAGAGGAATGAGTAAGTGATTGGGAAAAAGAAAAGGGGAGATGTTGATCAGAGGTTAAATAGTTAGAGGCAGATGGGATCGGGAAGACTGGAATGGGCAATTATATAGAGACAAAAAGTAGGTAAGTAATTACCATTGGAAATGACTACTTATTGATAGCTCTAAAGTTTCCTTCTTGACTTGTAAAAATGTGTTAAAATTGATTGTGGTCATTCAATTCTGGGAACATCCTCAAAATTGCAGGTGAGCTGTAGGATAGAGGAATAAAGTCACTTAAGCAATGTATTTATTGTTATTGTGTGTGTGTGTATATATGATATGTGTGCATGAGGAGGGTTTGCTTGTGCCATGGTCAAGTCAGAGGATAACTTTAGGAGTCAGTTTTCTCATTTCACTTTTGGCTCTGGGGCTTAAACTCAGATTGTTAATGCATGTATGGCAAGAGCTTTTACCTGCTGAGCAATCTTGCTGGCACGAATGATCTCTTAATAGAGCTGTTTTTAAAAATAAATTTAAAATGGATGAATAAATAATTAATGAAAACATTAATAAGAATGTGTTTTCACATTCCTTTGGAGTAGGGAAATTGGAGGATTGGGTTTCTGTTACTCTGTGACCAAGACTAGCCTGGAATTTATTATGTAGCCAAAACTGTCTGTAAACTCAGGATCCTTCTGGTTCTGCCTTCCCAGTGCTGGGAGCACAGGCCTGCATCAACACTACTGCAGCTTCTTCTTCCTCCTCCTCCTCTTTTCTTTCGAGTTGGGGTCTTGCTATGTAGTCAAGTTAGCCTTGAATTGAGTACAGAGATTTAATAAGGTGAGAATGTTCACCTGTTTTTGGTGTGTGTGTATGTGTGTGTGTGTGTGTGTGTGTGTGTGTGTGTGTGAACATGTTTGTGTGGTGGAGGCCATATACCAAACTTAGGTGTCTTCCTCAATCACTCTCTAGCTTATTTCTTTTTGGACATGATCTCTCACTGAAACTACAGCTCACCAATAGGCTACGATGGCTATCCAGGAAGCTCTAGGCATCTGTCTGTCCCTGCCTCCCCACTAATGGGATTATAGGTGCACACTGCTATGCCCTATTTTTACATGAAGGCTGGGAATCCACACTCAGGTCCTCATGCTTGCATGATAAGCACTTTACCAACCTAACCATTTCCCTAGCTCTTGAAATTTCACATTTGAATAAAACACTTCAGTAGTAGATATTTCTTGTAAATTTGTATGGTTGCTATCTCATACTTTCAGTTGACTTATTCCTCCATCCAGCATATCTGCTGGTGTAGCTGGAAGTTTCTCCGGGCCTGCCCAGCTCCACAGTCCTGCAGCCGCCTATAAAATAACCACTCAGAGGCTTAATATTAATTGCAAATTCTATGGTTTATTGGCTTAGGCTTCTTGCTAGCTAGCTCTTATAACCTAACTCATAACTATTAATCTATGTATCACCGTGTGTTCTGTGGCTTTACCTGTGTCCTATTACATGTTGCTCCTTGGACGGCGGTTTGGCATCTCCCCCGACTCTCCTTTCTCCTCTCACTATCTGTCTTGGATTTTCCCACCTGGCTCCATCCTGCCCTGCCATAGGCCAAGGCAACTTTATTTATTAGCCAATGGGAGCAACACATGCACAGCAAACAGAAAGACATCCCAAAGAACTTCACCTATTCTGTCTAATCAAAAAGAAAGATTTTTAACTTTGACATAGTAAAATTATATATAACAAAGCAGTTATCAAGCAAGAATTATAGTTATAATATCTAGTCTATTTGTATTTGGCAAAATTAAAGAAAATATTCTATCATCTATTCTATTTTGTGAGTCTAGTTTTATATCTAATTTACCTTTTATCATGACTAAAAAAAACTATAATTATCTAGTTTTCAACTCCATCAACAACCCTGGAAGGATTACAATATTACCTGAGTAAAGAAGAAATGCATTGAAAGCAACTTTTATAATTCTAGAAATGACAGAGACAGCTGGTTGCCTAGACAGTCACCCAAAGTTTTTCTGTAATGTTGGGGCATCCATCTTTAGCCTATGGGCCTACAGTCTCTCAGTCGCTCTTTCCTGTGTCCTGTAGAATGTCTGGCAGTCTCCTCTGCGAAGCAGGGACCCAAAGGACCATTTCACCTTGTTATAGCAAAATTTAGTGGTTATTTTCTTATGGGTCCTGTATGTCCACTTTATAGAATATATTATCAAGCAGTCTATGCAAGAGCAGTTTCTTGCCCAAATGGATATTTTTGTCATAAAGAAAGCAAACTTCATATGGAGTTTCTTTGTTGCCCATCATCCTCTTTGAAATAATTGGTACTGCCAGGAGCAGATGTGTCTCATTGTCTAGAAAAGTCTAAGTTTTTAAGTTTTAAAAACATTTAAAATGCCATATTCTTTATGTCTTTGAAATGTTTGAAGATTATCTACCTAATTGAAATATATCCATGTATAACTAGAAAACTTAACTAACATGACTATAAGTTTGATTATCATAGATGACTATTAATATGTTTTTGTTTTTTTTTTTTTTTTGGTTTTTCGAGACAGGGTTTCTCTGTGTAGCTTTGCGCCTTTCCTGGATCGCGCTCTGTAGACCAGGCTAGCCTCGAACTCACAAAGATCCACCTGCCTCTGCCTCCCGAGTGCTGGGATTAAAGGCGTGTGCCACCAGCGCCCGGCAGTATTTCTTAATGGTATATTACAACTTTAAATGAGTTGTATAAACATCATACCTCAAACATGAGTAAAAATATACATAGACAGACGATAACAAAATTAACCTTATTTATTTTCTTTTAAGGAAATTAGATTTTTTTTTTAAATTTCAGCTTCTTTGAACAATTTCCTAAAAACTTTCAACAACTTATACCCAGAAAGATGTGCCAGTTTTGATTCTGTTTTCCTTACCTCCAGAGTTGAGTCCCAGACTATAGGGTCACAGACAGTCATGCTTGGATAAAAGGTCTTTGGTTCCAGTTCTTTATAGGTGATGCTCTGTATTTCATGTTTCATGTTATTAAAACATAGGCAACATCTTGTCTTAAACTTAGTGAAGCTGAATCTGACCACCTGAGTTCATGTGGTAACAGCCTGATCTCTTCTATAAAGTTAACCTTTTTTTTTTTTTTTTTGTCAATAATAAATGAGCTATGGGTAGGTGACAGGATGTGGCCCTCAAAATTCCCATAACCCAGTTGCCTAATAGTTTTAACATCTGTTCATTCATATACATTTATTAGTTGACACTTGTCCTGGTTAGGTTGTTTTGTTTTTTTTTTGTTTGTTTATTTTGTTGTTTTTGTTTTGTTTTGTTTTTGTCAACTTGACACATGCTATAGTAATCTGGGAAGAGGGAATCTCAATCTCAATTGACCTCCATCAGACTGGCCTGTAGGGTCTGTGGGACATTTTCCTGATTAATGATTGATGTGGGAGGGTCCAGATCACTGTGGGTTGGTGCCACCCATAAGTTGGTGGTTGGTCCTGGGTGGTATAAGAGAGCTGAGCAAGCCAGTAAACAGTGCTCCTCCATGGTCTCAGCTTCAGTTCCTACCTCCAGGTTCCTGCCTTGAGCTCCTGCCCCGACTTTTTTAAATGATGAACTGTAACCGTAAGCTGAAGTAAACTCTTTTCTCCCCAAGTTGCTTTTGTTCATGGTCTTATCTCAGCAACAGAAACCAAACTAAGAATTCATTTGGAAGGAGATTTATCATCAATAGAACTATAAAACTTGCTTTGTAGCCAAGGTTGTCCCTGGAACTTCTGATTCCCTTACTTCTGCATCTCAAGTGCTGGAATTACAGCTGGGTACCATCTTGTCCAGCATGCTCATCTCAAAGCTGTTTAGATAAAACTTCAAGTCTAGACTGTACCTAGCATACAGTATGTATTCGATAAAAGTTAAAAAAAAATTAATAGTCGTATCACAATTGTTTTAAATTTATTATGACCTTGTCTTCTGGGACTCATAACTCTGGAGGTAAGAAAAACAGAATCAAAACTGGCACATCGTTTTGGGTATAAATGGTTGAAAGCTTTTAGAAACTATTCAAAGAAGCTGAAATTTTAAAAAATCTAATTTCTTTAAAAGAAGATATACTTTTTTTCCAAATACATATTTCATCTGTGGTTTTACAGTTGCACTTGGAAATATACATCTGAGCCCCAAAGATAAACATCCTTCCATCTGTCTTTTGGGGTGTTTTGCAGCAAATGCCTGAGAAGCAGAAGATGTGTTTTGTGATTTCTATTTCACATCTTCATGTAAGAAGGTAAGCTATGAAAACCTTGGCGTGGAGGCTCAGGCTTGTAATACCTTGGGAGGTAGAGGCAGGAGGATCAGGAGTTTAAGGCCATTCTCTGCTACACAGCAGAATGGGAGGCCCCCCCTGGGTTATGTGAGACAAGGAGGAAACCATCTATTGTTAACATCGGTAGTGGTGGTTTAACTCTTTATAAAGCCATTTTCACACTACCTTCTCTTAACCTCACCACTTCCTCTTGAATAGGACAGACAGCAGGGATCGTCAACATCCCCTTTTTACAAATTAGGAAACTGAGATTACTAAATGCGTTCCAAAGGCCTCCCGGGAATGGGCAAGGGGATTGCCACTATTGAAAAAGGATTGACACTTGTTAAGACGTCATTAACTCTATTGTGAATGTGAGCACCTTTGCTGCTGGGCTACCGATCAAACCTAAGGCCACTCTATGCAAGGCCGGAGCTTTACCACCGGACAGGTCTCCACACTCCTCCCCAATGAAGTCCCTATCAAGTCTCCTGCAGCTGGAGCCATGAAGGGGAAACTCAGCTGGAGATCCGTAGCTGGGGAACAAAGAGAGTGAAGTGAGTCAGTGGACAGAAAATCACTAAGAGGACAACCATGGTAGGGGTATTGTTGCTAAGGGCAGACCGCGGATTTACATCAAAGGTGGGACGGTAAATCCGTTCAGATATTGAGACAGCAAGAAGGATTCTTGCAAAACTGAGCTCAGCTAGAACCACCAGGAAGGCCTCTCCCAGAAGGGGGCTTAGAGGTAACAAACTTAAAACAATTCGGTGAGGGCGAGCCCGCCACGGCCCCATCCTCACGGGAGGAGAGGGGTGGCAGGCCGGAGGAGCTGCGGGATGGTGTCCCCCGGGTCCGGCTCTCCTTTAAAGGAAGCATCGCCTAGCGCCAAGGGCTGCATGGAAGAAAGAGAGGGCTCGCAATCCTTGCAACTGGCCCCGCCCCCGTCAGCCGGCTCCCAGATTCGGGGCGGGACTCCGCCGGTCGGCGGACGGGGTCGCTGGCGCTGATTGGCTACCCGCGCGGGCTTGGGGTTTCCCCCGACTCCGCCCCATTGTCGCCGGGGCGCGCTCCTTCAGCCCGCGAGAGCGCGCGCCCAGGCTCCAGCCGCACCGCCGGGCGGGAGGAGCCGGAGCCCGCGTCGGTCCGTCCCTCCCTCCCTCCCTCCTCTCGCCCTCCCACCCCCACGGATCCTCATCCTTAAAGCTCGAGTCCGCTCGCTCCGCCTGTTTGGAGAGAGGGCACCGGGCAGCGGCGAGCGTGCGGCCGCGGCGAGGCAGCGCTGACAAGGGCAGGCAGGCGCCCGGAGGCGACGG